TGAGACACGTCTCCCTCCTCCTTGCTGCTTTGGCTTACTATCTATCTTACCTAACTTTGTCACACCTCCCAAGACAGTGTCACTTCTCCCTGATGATATCCTGCTTCCCCTCTTGCCCCCATAGTCTATTTCCAACAGCACGCCCACGGGTCTGTTTGTAAATTATAATGCCATTGATCTCAAGCCTTTGCTCAACACCCTAAATAGCTCTCCATTTCACTCCAGGCACAAGTGAAAATCCCTTTGGCTATCGGAAAGGCCCGCTTGCTTTCCTTGCCTCTCTTGTTTCTTTTCTCACCACTCTTTCTTTTTTCAAGCAGACATATTACCTTCTAACTTACTATGCAGTTTGTTTATTTAAAAGGTTTATTGTTAATCTGTCTCTCCTGACTAAAATGTAAACTCCACAAGGGCAGAAACATTTTCCAATTTTGTACATGCTCTACATACCTAGAGCAATACTTGGCACATCCTAGGTGTTCAATTGATGTTTGTTCAGTGGATGAGATTAATAATGGATAGACCTGAACTGAGAGAATTAAGTGAGCTACTTGTAAGTTTATTAACTTTCTATTATATGCCTGGGAAGGTGATGGAAAGTATACTGTAGTTTTTTTTTAAGTTGCTTCTTCATTCGTTCATTTGACAAAAACATATTAAGCCCTTATCAAGTAGCAGGCACTGTTCTGAACTCAGGATAGAAGATAAACAATAACAATTAAATGTTGCAGGTACTGGGGCCCAGTTTTGCCACATCCTCTAATAATGCTTTTTTAAAGAGAAGCTGAAATCTGAATTTTTATATGACTCTCCCAATTTTTAAATGTTGATAACTAACTTAAAATTTTAAAATTTACTGTAACAGCCAGATTAACCATTCATGATGACCAAATGTTTATGATGACCAGAAACAAAGTATTAGACAAGAGAAAGTTTGTCTCTGTCGCACTGGTCTGAGTGTAAGCAAACTGGACGCTCCTCTTCTCTTCTTGCTTTGCCGTGGCTCCTCCATATGCCTGAAGGTGGCTCACCTGTGTGGCAGCATCCCCGCTCACAGATAGGGAAGGCCATGTGCCTTCCTTTAAAGGGTGGGATCCACACTCCCGTCACGGTGCTTCAGCTCATACCCCATTGGCCAGAGCTTGGTGACATGGCCATACCTAACTCCAAGAAAGGCTGGAAGATGTAGGTTTGACCTGGATGGCCATGTATCAGCTAAACGTTATATTTCATATTAGAAAAAGAAAATGGGCCTTGGGGAATATGCAGCAGTCTGCTGCTTTCCCTACTGTGGGCTTCAGGTTGTGTGAGGCAAGGTATCTCTTATTGTGCCCTCAGTTTTCTGATTATTTTAGCAGACTCTAGCAGCACAAATGGAAGGTGACACTTGACTTTTTTTTCCTCTCATATTCTTCTGGACCACTATATGTCTGGTTAGGCTGACATAACTAGCTGTGTTTTGTTGTAATTTATGTATTTGTTTGCACAGTCGGTCTAGAGCATCAGTTTGGTCTCCGGATCCCTTTGCACTCTTAAAAATGATGGACACTGGAGAGCTTTGTTTATATGGGTTATATCTATTTACATTTTCGTAGTAAAAGTTAAACGTACAGCCCTGGCTGGTGTCGCTTAGTGGATTGAGCGCGGGCTTGCAAACCAGAGGATGGTGGTTCGATTCCCAGTCAGGGCACATGCCTGGGTTGCAGGACAGTTCCCAGCAGGGGACACACAAAAGGCAACCATACATTGATATTTCTTTCCTCTCTCCTTCTCTTCCCCTCTAAAGATAAATAAATTAAAAATCTTTAAAAAAAGTTAAACATACATTTGTAAACATATTCAAGAGAGAAGTGCATGAACTTGGACCTCAAGAAATCTCTACTATACAGTTGTGAGAGATTGATGGTAAAACAAATAAAGCAAATACTGTTTTAGTAATATTATGAAAATAATAATGACCTCACACACCCTTTAATAGGAGCTTGGGGACCTTTTCTACATTTTGACAGCTACTGATTAAGAGAATATAACCTGTTTATATTGATTTTGGTAATTGTAATATAGTGTAGCTAATAAATGCTGGGGATTTAAAATGCTAGGACTGGGGATTTAAAAATAAAGGAATTAAGACAAGGCCACTGCTATGGAGTAGTTAATGGTAAAATAATAATAATAATAATAATAATAATAATAATAATAATAATAATAAAGTTGACCAACCAATCTATAAACGTCTTTCATCTTAGATTTGAGGAGAGTTTGTTTGTATTTCTGAATTATAAATATATGTGTGGGAGTTAATAGTGATTGGTTTCCATCTATAGTAATTTAATAAATTCCAATGTGTAAGATATATTGAATTAAATGTTTCATACATTTAGAAGTTCATCACAAAGAAATTGGTTTGATTTCTGTGCACACTTATGAGTTGTTTGGGGCCACCCACCGTGAATCTCCCTTTTCTCGCCTGGCACATCCCACCGCCTTCTACAGAAGTGTAAAGCGCTCTGCGTTTGCATTTGCAGCCAGCCTTGCCACCAGGCCACAGGCATGTGACGAGGCTCCGCCAATCAGATGTTTCCTTCTCATCTGATTGAAATGGAAACTAGTGACTTGAAGGAACTGAGGCAGCTCCACCTGCTTTCTAGGGCAGCTCCAGGGGTTGCCGGTGGAAGATGCCGGCCCCCCAAACCCTCAGACTGGTGCTGCAGTGTGATTTGGGGGTGATCTTCCAGGAGATGGAGCCTCCAAGCCCTATTTCCCTGGCCTTCCTGGGAAATGTTTTTAACGAGGTTTTTATTTTTCAATTACACTCAATGTACAATATTTTTCCCGGAAATTTGTGACCTTTCCGTTGTCCTGTGAACTCAGGAGTCAGTGCTTTTGCCTGCAAGTAAGAATCCCACTTGATACATTCTCCAATGCAGTGCCCTCCAAAGTGTTGTTGGGGAACCTCATGCTTCAGAATCAGCTGGGCCACGCCCTAATGCTCAGTGCCTATTGATGGGCTTAAAATTGATGGATTCAGATTCCTTGTAGGTGAGTCCCAGGAGTCTGCATTTTTAAAAAGTCCCGGGGTTATGTAATTTTTAGATAAAGTAAAATTTAGGAACCGCTGTTCTAATGTTTCCAACTTTTTAAATTATTTGGTCTGTGTTTAAAGGTCTGAGCAATCCCAGAAGATTTTGCAAGACCATAATCAGTGACTAGTATTTCCTTGTTCCTTTCTCTTTCCATGCAGCTCCAAATTCCCCATAAGCCTCTTTGTTCTGCTTTTGTAACTCTCATAATGTCTTTTTCCCTCCCTGGTTTATTTTTTCTCAGTGAGTGGTGGTAATTCCCCAAATAGGATTGCCTACACTCCGTGATACAGGAATTAACTTGGGGTGTAAACTCTGCTGTGACTGGCTTTCTCCAGCCCATTTGTTCCTTGAGTGTTTCTGCAGCCTCCAAGTTTACCTTTCCAGGGGTCACTGGAGAGGTCGAAGGGGAAACACTACATAGAACGTGCTAGGTGGCTTTCTTTGGAGGGTTTTTCAGCCATGGATTCAGGCCCAAAATGAACACAGACGAGTTGAATACTTGACTTCTGAGATTTCTAAAATCATAGAATGTTATAACTTGAAAGAATGTAGCTTTACCCCCACATTTTATAAGTGAGGACATATGAAGATATGTGCCATTCATCACCCCAGTGATTAGCGGAATATTAAGGCCAAAATAATTTTGGAAGAAGTGGGAAATAATGATGCAAAGCTTGACCTAAACGAGCATAAAGAAGAGAGAGATTATTTGAGCGACTACTTGAATTTGGGTACATTCACTTAACATCTCTTAGCCTCAGTTTCCTCAACTATAAAATAAAGATTCAAATAATAGCTAACATTCGTATAATATTGACTGTGTGCTAAGAACTACTCTAAGGACTTTATCTGCTATTTCTTTTAAGCCTTCTCCCAAGTATATGACATAGGTAGTGTTATTTATCCCATTTTCATATAAACAGGAAAGGGAGATAACTGACCTGAAGCCACACAATTAGTGTATTTATTTTCAATTGCTGCTTTACAGATCACCACTGGCTTCATGGCTTAAGACAATACATTTATTGCCTCGCAGTTTTGTGGGTCAGGACTCTGCTTGGGGTCTCACAAGGCAGCAGTGGGAGGTGTCAACAGGGGTAAAGGTCTCATCTGAGGCTTGGGATCCTCTTCCAAAGTTACGTGGTTACAGGCAGAATTCATTTTCCTGCAGCTATGGAACTCATGGTGGCTGAGTCTTCAAGACTCATAGAAAAGCGTCTACTTTCTTGAAAGGCCTCACCTGATGATGTCCGGCCCAAACGGGATAATCTCCCTTTTGGTTAATGTAACATCAAACAATTAGGGTCCTTAGTATAATACGTCTTCAAATCTATTCGTCTTTGCCATATGATATAACATAATCACGACAGTAATATCCCATCATCACCTTTGCTATTTTATGGATTAGGTACCAGTTACAGGCCTTGTCCACACTCAAAGGGAGGGGAGTACACTCACCTGCGGATACCCACGGGCAGGAATCACAGAGTCATCTCAGAATTCTACCTCCCGGAAAGAAGAGGACTTAGTTTAAGTCCAGACTGACACCAGGTTTTAGAGTCCACGTTCTGAGTCCAAGCTCTTAGTCACTGTGATCTGTCTCACTTTGAAGAGAGTAAACCTACTTAATAACCTTGCATAAGTTCTACATAGAAACCCAGCAGATTCATTCTGGGTACTGGGCAGTAATTAATTCTCTTCACATCTTCACTTTTAAGAAAACATAAACACCTGCAGTTTTGTATTTCCAGGAAGTTATTTCCAATGGCCCCTCTAAAAAAAACAATTAATCATTAAAGTTATTTTAATTCATTCATATTCTTCTCAGGCAGAAATAATCCTGGGGCTTATGACTTGAGACTGGGGTTCTTAAAAAAATAACCCAGGCTCTGTTCTTTTTGTTTGTCTTTGAAACAGATGAAGTGACTGGGAAGAAATAGTGACCACCTTCCCTCTATACACAGAACACCATGGATCAGCCATTTACTGTGAATTCCCTGGTAAGTGACACCAACTCGCAGTCCACATATGGTTAGAAAACCCAAAAAGGAACAGAAACAAACCAAGTGTGAAATGAATGGCAATGGCTTAAAGAACTTTTCTGCTTGTCGTTTTTCTTCCATGTGGTCTTCTCCTTTGAGGAAGTGACTAATAAAGCCATCTTTGCTTGAGTTAAAAATAAATTTGTTTCCACAAGAGGGTGGCCTGTTGACTTATCTTGTTAGAGTGAGTGCAGGAGTGTAGTCCTTTGGCAGAACACCAGAGAGAAGAATTTCAGAGTTCACTTTGTGGCAGGTCCATCTGCCTCTTCTTCGTGCCGCGACTTCAGTGAAAATTGGAGGCTTGCCTTGTGTGGTGACGAGGGAAATGTTTTATATTTAATACCTAAATGTTGCTTTGGGGTCTTGTGTAAATGTCTGCACACTTGAAACTCTTGTTTTTCTCACTTGTCCCCTTTGGGCCGCACACTGTGCATGTATCTCTAGCTGACTGTTAGAAGTAGCAACGTGCAGGAGAGGAAAGAAGAGGCACCTCGGGATCCCATGAGCTTATTCTGCGTCCCAGATCAGTCTTTGAATGTGAATATAGGCACATTATATAACCTCCATGGTCCCGTTTCTGTACTCTGTGCCTTGTGACAATTGCAAACAGTATTTTTAATGTTCTCAGCCTATCCTGGGGGCTTGATAAATGGAAGCTGTTGTTACCACTACCCTCCTCCTGACTACCGTCCCCAGCCCACTCACTGCAGCCCTCTGGGTAGCCCTGAGAGCAGCAGTGTATTGAATACCCTCTACACACAAAGCTCAGCACCTGAACGTAAAGAGACAGAGGGCCTGGTGCTTGTGCTGAAGTAGGTTAGGGCCCAACGTTCTTTCTCTTCCATAAGTGTCTTCCTCAGAAGCTCAGTTGCTTTGAGAGTATGTTTGAAGGGGAGAGAATTGTAGGAACTTTTTCACTTTCTAACCTCATGTTGTGGAATAATAAAAGCTGCTTCATTTCTTCTCGTACAGAGGAAGTAAGTGTCTTTTGTGGTTTTCTAGAATGTATGTATGTAATAATAATTAAAATTTTAGAGGATAGTCGATGTAAAAATGAAACTAAAGCTTTTTCATCTGGAAATTTTGTATTTTCATCCAAGAACCTCACATGCAAACGAAACAAGGATTGATGAAGATTTTAGGCCATTGCCCAGATCATCTCTGAAATCAGTTTTAAATTTGGGAAGGATAGGAGTATTCAGGAAAGGAAAGGTAAAAATCTTTTATCTTCCAGTAAAAAGATAATCTAACTATAGTCATGTTGCCTCCTTCTCTCTTTTTCTCCTTTATTTGATTCATTTATTGATTGTCATTTATGTTGTAAGGATTGTGCTACAACACAGCTAAACAATGGGCATGAATGAAAAATGATTCCTTCAAGGAGTTCATAAGAAATTAAAAACACTTGTACACAAATAATTAAAATTTAGCATGCACTGTATACTAAATAATGGACAGATTATTTCTATACATACAGGAGGCTGGAAGCCCCCTTTAGGAAATTCCCTAATTTCCATAGATTTTTTTTTCCTAGTCATTTTCTGATGTCATTGAAGCACTTATCTATATTCAAATAACGGTGTTCTCACAGAGTGCTGTTGAGCTCTGCTGGTGAGTGTGACTGGGGGAACATGGAGGCGTTGCCATGGTGTCTGAGACTTCCCAGTTGGAAAAGATGGTGTATAGTTGGGACTGAGCCTCAGAGTTCACAAGCTCTGATTCCTCCCTCTGATGTGGAGAAGCCCTCCAACCACATCTCTGGAATGAGCGTGTCTTTCAGAGAAGCAGAAGAGCAGTGCCACAGGGTTTGGATGGAAGGAAGTGCGTGTTAATTTAAGAGGAAGCCACTTAGAAGTGGTCTGAGGGTTGGTGTTGCTGGCAGGCACACCTCTCTGATTCTAGAATTCTAGACCAAGTGAAAACAGATTTAAGATGCCAGGAAAGGATCATAATCAAGTGCAGCCTTTATTTCAAGAACAGGGGAGAATGATTGATAAGTTTTCTTATCCCTTCTGGTCTAAATTAAACTGGCTTCCCCGCCCAATCACAGGAGGGATAGTTAGAGACCTTCAGGGTGGGAAACCCAGGATCTGAGAGCTTCCTCGGGGAGAAGAAACCAGAGAGGAGGAAAATCACCCATGTCACCATAGGCCAGGTCGAAAGGTGATAGAAAGTACAGGAGGCATGGCCTGCTTTTAACCTCATGGGGCCTTCAGAAACACAGTTGTGGCTCTACATTAAACCTAAAGAGTCATTCCAAGTCTCTAGAGTTCCATCTGCTGTAAAATTACAACCAAAGTAGACCGCACGGCATTGGAAAACCTGCAGGTATCTACTTCACCAACCCTGCCCCTGAAGGCTGGTTCATTCATGTATGGCCAGACTAAAATTGTGTCTACCTTGATTTCTTGTTTCATTTTCTACTGACCTTAATTTAATCAAATGCTCCACCCACACTGAAATCAGACTTGCAACCTGCCTGGAGAGCCTGAGGGGGACTTGGGAAGCTGCATTTGTTCTGGGCTAACTCCATGCTTCTAGTATCGAAAAACTGGAGTGCCTCTGGGAAGCCAGTCTCGAATCTGTGGAACTGAGGTGGGGCCTGTTAGGAATTTGCCTGTTTGGGAAGCTCCATTGATGCTGATGCGGCTGGTCCAGGGAGCAAACTGTGAGAAGCACTTGTCTAAAGCTGCGTCAGCACGCTATGGTCTGAGGTCCAAATTCATCTGCTCATTCTTTTTTTTTAAAGATTTTATTTATTTATCTTTAGAGGTAAAGGGAAGGAGAGAAGTATCAATGTATGGTTGCCTCTCATGAGTCCCCTGCTGGGAACTCACCTGCAACCCAGGCATGTGCCCTGCCTGGCAATTGAACTGTGATCCTCTGGTTCACAGGCCTGCGCTCAATCCACTGAGCTACACCAGCCAGGGCTCATCTGCTCATTCTTATAAATAAAAATTCGGATCACAGCCAGGATCATTTTGTTAAATGTTGTGGCTGCTTTCACACCAGCAGAGCGGAGTAGCTGAGATGGAGACCACGTGGTCTGCAAAGCCTAAAGTATTTGCTTTATGACCTTTAATAGAAAACAATAACAACATACACACACACACACACACAAACTTTGACCTTTTTGCCTTTCTGAAGCACTGTTTTTTTAAATTGAATAATTACCTTGAATATGTATGTCCTGTACTTTTCCAAATGTGTGCAGATGCTGTTTTTATTAATAAAATGCAGATCTATTAATACAACTGACTTTTCCTTAGTAATTATTATCATTACTTTTGCAGGCAGGGATGAATTAGTATAATTACTATTATTGGAGGTCTAAGGTTTTTTTAATGCTAAAAAAATGTGAAGTATCTATATGCTTGGAAGGGTTTCTCCAGGACTTATTTGTGGAGTTTTGTTCACTTGGTGAGGATGCAGGGAGACCCTGAAAGCTTCTTTAAAAAAAACAAAAAGTATTTAATTAATTTAGAGAGAAAGAGAGAGAAAGAGAGAGACAGAAACATCAATTTGTTGTTCTACTTATTTATGCATTCATTGTTAGATTCTTGTATGTGCCCTGACCTGGGCTCAAACCCAAAACCTTGGCATGTCCAAACCAACTGAGCTATCTGGCCGGTGCTGAAAGCTTCTTATGAAACTAGGAATATTCTGGAAGAGAGTTTTGAGCCCTTATGATAACCTTGAATCCAAGCTATCTCTGGGAGACCCTTCAGAGTAGAATGACATGAGACCTTCCCTGGCAAGAATCCTTCTCTTGGTCTGCTTCACAAGGCCCGGGATGGAAGACATTCATGAGGAAAAAGAGTCCATGCTACTTTACTTAATATGACCTAGATATTTGCATACCTAAACATATAGCCATATAATTGTACCCCAAACCCTGAAAGAGATCTCCTCACAGTAACAATGTATGTTTTTTTCCTGTAGATGTGTGTGTCTTTTTGTGTTTAGATCATGTGTTGAAGCAAAAAGGGTTTGCTTTTATCATCTTATTAACTCTTAGGAAAAGCTTTCCTTAAATATTGCTGTCAGGTATTTAGTACAGAAAATGCATCCATAATTTCAGTCAGATTCCTTTCTTCCAATAATCAGAGTTCCAATTTTTGCTTTGCAGAAAAAGTTAGCTGCCATGCCTGACCACACGGATGTCTCCCTCAGCCCGGAGGAGCGAGTCCGGGCCCTAAGCAAGCTGGGATGCAATATCTCCATCAACGAGGATATCACTCCACGCCGCTACTTCAGATCCGGAGTAGAAATGGAGAGGATGGCATCTGTGTATCTCGAGGAAGGAAACTTGGAAAATGCCTATGTTCTTTATAATAAGTTTATAACGTAAGTCTTTATAATGAGAAAATTGAGAAAGTATTGACATGGTATCTTGGTGAGACATTTTGTATGCCAGGAATGTTTCCGTGTTCAGACCACTTTTACAGCCTCCAGATATTCACTATGTAGGTTTTAAAATTCATTCAGTGTGTCAGCTTTGTGAGAGCAGGAGCCATAGTACAGCTCCATCCGGAGCACCTGGAACTTGCCATTCACACTGTAAACAACTTGTTTGGTGCGGTGAAACTGGGCGATGAATTGGCAGTCATAGGGTGGAGCTCATTCAGGAATAGACTGTAGCTGTCAGTTTCATGTTGGTTTTTTTTGGCAATTTATTTAGCTGTGTCATAATGCTGTGTGTAAGGGGGCTTCCAAAATGTTGAGGGAAAGGGGCTCCCTCAAAACAACCTTGTGGAAACATCGTATTTCTCATTAGATAGATATTCTTAGTAACAGATCCTAGTTTAAGACTTAACAGAAATGGGGTTCGTATTTTCCTTATTGATTTGCCATATTACTGGTTGGGAAGATCTGTTACTAATAATTATTTAATCTAAGCTGAAACCCTTATTTTGTTTTATCGAAAGTCACTTGTTGATTAATTTCACTAGTTCATTTAGGGACTTAACCTGAGCATTCGAGGAGTCAGTGGTTGGCAATATTCAGCCTGCTCGGGAAAATCGATCATTTCTAGGAAGTTAAACAATAAATATTAAATTGGAGTTTATCGATTGTCATTGATAGCACCTTTCCCCCAAATTTTTATTTCCTAACTAGAATAGGTTACCAGTTGATAATACTTCTTTTTCACTTTATGCTTGAGTTTTGCACACACTTCTGTGGAATCATAAGTGATTCCTGACAAATCAGAATATTTGAACTCTTCTGTCATTGACTATGTGATCATTTCCATGGTCCTCAGTTGCTTATCTGCAAATGATTTGTGGATAAATATCTCTGAGGTCTCTTCAATTCAAAATGTTTTGACTTTATTCTATTTAAAAAGACTTAGGCAACTACCAAGCTATGTAGCCTCTTTCATCCCGAATTTCCTCACTTCGGAAATGAGTGACCCCACTCCAGTATTCCCTGCAGATGAAATAACAGTGCATGTGTGCTTTGTAAACAGCAGTGCATTTGTAATTATAAGGCAGCACATATTATTTGATCAAAAATAGTATTTATAGCCCACCACAATCTATTAGTGAAGGGTTGTTCATTCATTTAACAAATATTTATTGAGCAGTTATTGTGAGCTGGACAGTACCCCACAGGCTGGGAATACATCAGTGAGAAAATCCAATGGGAATGCTATCTCATTACTTTTCTCTTTGGAAGCATTACTTTTCTCTTTGCCTAGAAGTGATAACCTGGTTTGTTCTAAGGCTTTCCCTTTACTCCTCCTGTCCCTTGTTTCTTAAAAAGGTGATGAAAAAATACTCCTCACTAGCACCTCATCCACTAGGGATTTCTGCTGTCATTTCTCTTAGTTACAAATTTTCAGTTAAGATACATATACCATGGCACTATTGTTTTGTCACTGGTCCTTTGAGTCTTTATCAGTTGTGAGAAGGAATTACATTGGTCTTTCCAGACTTTTACAATTGTATGTGATCCTCTGTGTTGCCAGCTACACACATTAAGTAAGATGGTGCTGTGGTGGGATTAAGTACTCAAGGCCTGAGAAAGACCAAAGAAGCCTCATCTATTTAGGGAGCATCCTGACCCTCTTAACCTCAGTGCTTAGTTTGTTGAGTTTAACTACCCTGTGATGCCAAGGTCATACTCAGTGCCAGCTGACCTTTCCATTAGATGGAAAGGCAGATGAAATGAACACAGGTGAAATAATAACTTATTTAACATGTGCTTTTTGAAAAGGAGGCTCATTCTCATAGTAGAAAGCATCATTGAGTTTTTTCTGTCATATCACACTAAGGACATACTTTCTCCTTCTCTAGCTTGTTTGTAGAAAAGCTTCCCAGCCATCGAGATTACCAGCAATGTGCGGTACCCGAAAAGCAGGACATTATGAAGGTATTGTGGGGTCAATACTCCCCTGCAGGATCAAATGCCCCGCAAGTACCAGCTCATACCTCCTTCCTTTCCCTCTGTCTCATCCTCTTGAGTGTTTAAGTACAAAAATTTATTCCATTAGCCCTGATGTTCCTATTTCTTCCTAGACCTTTAATCATCATATGGAGCCAGTGTGGGATGTCTGATGGAAACTGGGGCAAGGGGAGGGGAAGAAGAGACAGAGGTCAATAATGGGCTCCATCACTTTACGGAGTGAAGAAGAAAGTATTTCACCATTTCTCCTAGAGGTTGAGAGAATGGTTTCCTATTTCTCCATTCTTGATTGAGACCATCACTTTGGCTGGTTTTAATTATTCCACATAGTCCTGAACCCCAAAAGTATTTGAAAATCACCGTTGATCATTAAGTTACTACCCCAATAGATAATGAAGTGTTTATGGGGTAGCCTGAAATATTCTCAAGGAAAAGGATGATTGTTGAAGTGTATTTATTCCTTATCAATATTTGTAACATACATAGTTTAAAATATCTTTGGCCGAGAATGTGTCCTTTAAATAATATTTTTAAAATGTTTTTCATGTGTTGATCTTAAGTAGTTTGGGTTGATCTTACATAAAGGATGATGATAAATGATATGTACAAAGCCAATCACAGCATGATATTTTAAATAACTCCCCAAAGGTGTTTTATCATATAAGGGAATGAAGGCTCTCATTCCAGTTACATAGAACCTGAGGCTGCCTACAAGCAGAACTCAAATTTTATCAAATGGTCATGTACATTTTTTTAAAAATTCTGTACACACTTAGCTGAAGGGTCATTAATTTCCATGCTTTTGTGTAGCTTTTCCCCTCAATTCTCTTGTTCATTCAACCTCAAGAATTCTATATGGGAAGCAAAGGTCCCAGGCTGCTGGTGTGACCTGTTTACTCTAATGTAGGGTTATTCTTGTTTTTACGTGTAGGAAAAATTCTCCAAAGGCATGAACGTTTTCTTTATTTATGCTTGTCGAATAAATGGGTAGATGGATAGAGGGGTGGATAGAGTCAGGAGATGGGTATTCTCGTCATAATGGGGCCACTAGCTAGTTGTATGATACTGGACAAGCCTTTTAATTTCTCTAGGTCTTTGTTTCCTCATCTCTAAAAAGATGGTGGTGGGGGATTGTGCGGGGGTCATATCAGATTTCTCAGCCCTTGAGAATCATTGAGAAGTTGTTTGGATCCAGATTCCCCAACCCCTTCCTTTCCAACAAAGATGCTGATTCAGCAAATCTGAGATTAGGCTTGGGAATCTATATTATTATGAAAAGTTCCTGAGTACATTTTAAAGTCTCTCAAACCTAGGAGTCCTTATCTACCATGTTTTTCAGTGTTGCTTCTAACTATAATGACTTGTCATTTACATAGTGTGGAATGTGCAGTTGGCAACCCCACTACCTAAAAATGGGGTACCTATAAACACAATGCAGATAAGCACTACAAAGGGGATAATTTCTTCCTTTCCCTCCTGCGATGTTATATTTTGGAGTCCTGGAAAAGAGAGATTTCTTTTTCACCATCATCTTTGGTTACTTGGGTCTTGATTTCTAATACACATTCTAGCTGTTTTTCTTTCTCAGCCGATGATATGAAAGACTATACTGAAAATCCCACTAATCAATACGTATGTATATTTTTAAAAGAAACTGAAGGAGATTGCATTTCCAAGGACAGATGAATTGAAAAAGGACCTTTTAAAGAAATATAACGTAGAATACCAAGAACATATGCAAGGCAAAGTAAGTTCAATTGGTGCATTTATTTCATGACTTTCTGTGCAAATGTATTTTTGAATTTCATTTTCATGTGAATTTTTAAAATGTCATATGCATTTAAATTAAAAAAGCTGTGGTGATGTAACACCAATAAAAAATTCATGTTGATGTCCAGGTTAAGCACTTGCACAAAAGATGCGGTTTTTTTTTTCATTTCCCCATGACATCTGATAAAGTGATGCATTAGAAAATAGGTCTCCTACGGTGATTTCAGTAGAGCTTTTGACCAACTCTTGCCAATGTGACCTTGAGCCAGGTGACTGCTCTTTGCTGATGAATAGAGGTAGTAGGAGCGAGCGAGAAGAGAATATGATTCCTGATGTATCTACTTTGTAGGCCTTGGAAATGTGAATTAGGTTCCTAAATATAACACTCAATGTTTCATCAAAGGTAGAATTATAATTCTGTGAGTGAAATACGATCATATCACCAAGAGGTGATGGCTTCTGGACCCTTATTGAGTGAAGAGTGAGAATGATGATGTCTAAGACTGAAAGGGATGGAAAGAAGAAACTGGCCAGTCAGTGTATAAATTCTCGAGTTGAAGACATGAATTCGTAATGTTTTCACATTCGTGGTGAGATCGTTTTGCTTTTTTTGTTGTTTATGTGTTTATGTGCCCTGGAAGTTGTCACTTTTACTGACTCTCCCTTCAGTGAACTCTGAATATAGTCACAGAACGCTGCTTCTTTGGGCATAGCCAGAGGTCAAGTTTGAGTGAAGTGTTTTGACAGTCTGACAGGAAGTATTGAAATCAGAAGATTCCCACAAGTGTGGATATTGATGATTTGACCTGAGCTACAAAAGAGAAAAATGATTCTGGAGGCTCAGGCAAAGCAACAGCAAGGGAGCGAACAGCCCAGTGAGGTCTGCCTTCCATATTCGGCAATGCCTCTGGATGTCCCCTTGGGATTTCCTGGGGAGAAGCAGCCTCAGCGGCTGTTGCATGGTGTACCTTTCGCAACACCAATCACTTCCCAGTCCACAGTAGTAGCATCCCATGTATATGACATGTGGAAATCTCTGGGGAGATGGCATGGCAGCCTTTAAGCCTAGGAGAGATGAACAGACACACGGGTAAGCCCCGGCTACAGGCAGCACCAGTGGGACTTGGGAGCCTGTAGGAAATGCATAGCGTGCCCTCTCATGAGACCCAGGGTGGTTGAGTGCACATCCACGTGTGGCTGTAAGCCTGCTTCCCTCTCCCCGACCAGTACTTTGTAGTAACTCCCAAAGTCTAGTTTTCATGCAATCATTTGTGAAGGTTATTAAAAATATATGTTTTCTTACCTAATAATGCCTGGATATAAGACTGGGGAGCTTGGGAATCTTCATTTTTAACAAAAGTACTGGTTGGTTATACTAGTGATGGCTGGACCACATTTTGAGAACTGTTTCTCCATATGGTCCCAGCAGTGTGGGTTCTGGGGCCCCATGCGGGGAGCTCTGGGCAGCACTGTCCAAGAGAACTTCTGGTGATAAAGGGAATATTCCACATGGCACTCTCTGGTTTGGGAGCCATTAGCCTCACGGTGCTTAAAATGTGGCCAGCAGGATTGAGGACCAGAATTAAAATTACATCTCCTTTAATTCAATGAAATGTAATTTTAATATATTTAAATTTAAATAGCCACTATGGCTAGGGGCTGCCATATTGGACAGTCCGGTCTAGGGTGGTTGAACCATTCCTGAGGTATTTTGTTCCACATGGTTTGCTTGGTTAGGCTGAGCAGACCATCCTGACCTTGATTTTCTAATATTTAGAAGCACAGGGGAGTGAACTTGATTGTCTTGGCCCATCTCTGGCAAAATACGAGTGGATTTAGAACGGCTCCCAAATCAGGTTAAGGGGCTTTTGCCTTGATGTTACGTATTTTCCTCACTGTCACGTGAATGTCCCTAGGGGCAGATCACAGTTTCTAGCCATGTCTCTGTCTGCCGGAAGATGGAATGTCTAATCCCAGTTTGATGTTCTTGCCTTGGAAGCTAACCTTTTATACTGGCAACCACATTTTTTCAGAACAGACGTGTTAGGTCGGAGTCACTCAAGAAACCAGATGGACGCGGCAAGCCAAGGAGCCGGGTTTATTAGCCGGGAATAAGAGGGAAAGTGGAGCCAACCTCGGGAAGTTAAGACTTGCTCGGTTGTTCATAAGGCAGGGTTTCTAAGCTCAAAAACCTGTGAAGGGTAACTGGTTGGGATGTCAGAGTCTGACTGGCTAGAGCTGGTTGCTGGGTGCCATTTCTGCTGACCATTGTTCTTATACATCTTGTCAGCCTCGGGTCAAAGCTGCATCCTGTTAGGCCGACCCCAGCCCCCAGTCTTAGCCAAGCGTCTGTGTGCCCTGGGTCGGCAGGCAGTTTCCCATGGAACAGTTTCCTGCGGTGCAGTTTTCTCACCTGGCGATTTTCCATTCCTCCTAGGCCTGCCTGGGTCTGTCAAAACGAAAAGCCGAGTTTCTCAAGAACTGGGAACATCAGCGGTTGATCGAGGCAGAAAGGAAGCGGATCGCTCAGATGCGCCAGCAGCAGCTAGAAACGGAGCAGTTTCTGTTTTTTGAAGATCAGCTGAAAAAGCAAGAATTAGCCCGAGGTCAGATGCGAAGCCAGGAGACCCCAGTGCCCTCGGAGATCGATGGCAGTGCTTTGTCCTGCTTCTCCACACACCAGAACAGTTCCGTGCCGAGTGTATGTGCTGATCAACCTAATAAAAGTGACGGAACCAATTGTACCAGCCACTCTCCTCCGGTCAACAGGGCCTTAAAGCCAGCTGCTGCTCTAAGTGCTGTTCAGAGTAAGTGAGGAAGTGTTGCCCCTGCAGGACATTGAATCTCTCCCGGTGGAACTCTGTTTCTGGAACATCTAGGCTGGGGCGTGGGGAGGGGGTCCTCACTTCATTACCGATTGTCATAGGACCCCGTCCATGATACTGCAGGCAGACAGAGCTAATCTTTATGTACCGCACGGCTTGTCAGGTACTGTGTGGAACCTGGCAATGCAGAGTCACGAGTTCATGATTTGCCCATGATGCAGTAGAGACCCTGACGAACAGGACTGCACTGGGTCATGGTACAGAGATTTTAAAAGGGTAGAATTCCACGCCTTATTTTTTTCTTTTATGTATTTTAACCAAGAAACACATGGACCTTAAACACTTATGCTGGAGATGAAAGACGATGTCTATCGAGAAACTTCTTTGTCCAGAACTTTGCTTGGCAATTTGAATGTAAATGGCCAGCATTTCCCTGGGCCAGGAAGACCTGCACCTGGGGAGTTAACCCCCAGTCGGATTATGCGGTTCTGCCAACAATTGGTGCTGCTTGGCACTGCTGCTTCCGTGCCGGCAGGCTTTCCAGATTAAATGGGGGATTTTTCCCCACAGACACTGCCAGATGGAGTTCGTGTTTCCATTTATTTTTAAAAAGCCACGATAGGTCACCATTTGATAAATTACTGCCAATTATTGTTGAAAACATCATCTGCTTACTTAACCATCACCAACTGTCATAAAGATCTAAGTGACATGGGAAACACAGTGAAGAACATCCTGTGACTACAGGGTCTGAGATGTAGCCGCTGCAGCCTTCCACTTGACAGTGTCTTTGCTTTGTGCCAAAGGAACACTCGTGCACACATGGAAATATCTGATCTAGGGCACGAGGCTGTGAAAGTGCTTGCACTTTGCCACTTGTTTATGAAATAGTTTATATGCGACGGGCATTTTTACCTTTCTTCCAGTCTGTGTTTACTTCTAAGTGTTTCAAACTAACACATGGAAAGTGGAGCCTCTGATCATTTCATTTTTGATACTTATTTGCGGTTGCTTGCCGAAGAGAGTTTCGAAGGATGGGATGTAAGATTTGTTTTTTAGCTTCTTCTCCCTTTTCTGTTTCTTAGATTTAGTGGTTGAAGGACTGCGATGTGTAGTTTTACCGAGAGATCTTTGCCACAAATTTCTGCAGCTGGCAGAGTCTAATACAGTGAGAGGAATAGAAACCTGTGGGATGCTCTGTGGAAAACTGGTATGGTCTTTGTTTCATGTCTTTGCACAGGAAACTTTCAAGGGTACTGACATTCTTGTTGTAAGCAGAGTAGAATAAAATAAAATCATCCGAAGAGTTGTACATATCATGAAATTAATTTTACACAGATCCATTTCTTAAAACTACCGTCATTATTCATGAATTATCCTTCTGGAAAATGGATGATAAAATTTCAGGGATTATAGGTTTTTGGATTTTCAAAACCATCTAGTTTTCTAAGATGACTTTTTGTTGCAGTTGTTAGTTTCACATATATTTAACTCTACTCTCTTTTATCTGTGGGAGGTGTCATCTCGCCACCCTTTACCAGATGCGTGTGGGACGCAGCCAGAGTTTTGTTGTTTCCTTTAAGGCCATCATCTGAACAACCGAAGTCTTGTGGCATAGGTCATGTTGAAGTAGGAAGGTTTTATCAGAAATACGTGATGAAAGGGAGTGTCAGAATATAAAGAAATAAAAAAGAGAAAGTGCATTTAATTTTCTACTTGCAGGAAAGACGAATTTCTTTGGACATGTCCCTTCTTAGTCTTTTTGAGTCTAAGTTTATATTTCTGGGTCCAGGAATGTTTTCAGTCTTAAACATTTTGCTTGGAAACTGTTGTTTAATTAAATGCATAATATGTTTTATTCAGCCCTGGCTGGTGTAGCTCAGTGGATTGAGCACAGGCTACAAGCCAAAGGGTCACCAGTTGGATTCCCAGTCAGCGCACATGCCGGGGTCATGAGCCAGGTCCCCAGTAGGGGAGAACGTGAGAGGAACCCACACATTGATGTTTCTCTCCCTTTCTTTCTCCCTTCCTTCCCCTTTCTCTAAAATAAATACATTTAAAAATGCATACATACATACATAATATGTTTTATTCAACACACATTCTCCTACTATGTTCCAGTGATGCATCATCCCTTTTCCTCCAGGAGAGAGGAAGCACAGATAACTGGCACAGGAGAATGGCCGGCCATCTCCTCCACAGCTACCTTATTTGCCCTCCAGGGGGCAGCATGCTGTAGATGTGTCCTCCCCAGGACCAAACATTACACTTAGTTTAATTCCTTCCTCCGTTTCTTCCTCCCTCTCTGCCTCCCTCCTTTCCTTCCTCAGATATTTACTGAGTACCTGTGCCAGGTATTGACATTCCGTAGTCCACAGCAGCCACCACGGTCTTTGCCACATGAGGCTCACATGATGCTTGTAAAGAACGAGACAGATGGTTAATTATAAATGGGGCTGGGTGCTCTCAGTGGAAGTGCAGGATTACAGGGAATGTGTCACTAGGAAACTAACCTTGTCTGGGGGGGTCTAGAAGGGCTCCCCTGAGAAGTGATGCTGAAGAATTCATAAAGTTAGCCATGAATGAGGGGCTGTAATGAAGGCTGAAGGAAGAGTGCCCAGTTTGGCCCTGGCTGGTGTGGCTTAGTGGATTGAGTGCCGACCTGGGAACCAAAGGGTCATCTGTTCCATTCCCAGTCAGGGCACATGCCTGGGTTGTGGGCCAGGTCCCCAGTAGAGGGCACATGAGGGGCAACCACACATGGATGTTTCTCTCTCTCTCTTTCTCCCTCCCTTCTCCTCTCTCTAAAAATAAATAAATGAAATCTTAAAAAACATTTTTTTAAAAAGTGCCCCATTTGTTGGAAAGCCGCTTTAGCTTCTAAGACCCTCTTTGGGTTGGACAGCCACACACAGCACAAACATCCGTTACCCGAGGTTCCTACCAGGGCTTCGCATGCACCCCTCTTCCTTTCAGCTCTTTCACACAAAGGGGGTGATGTATTTTGACTCCTCTTGATCTAATTACAAATCCAAAAGACTACCTTAATTATGGAAAATCCTAGCAAGTTCCCCCCATAGTAGAAGAAAGTTTTGTAAGTTCTGAAGTAAAATTGAATATCGTTAAAATAAAAACAAAACATCCACCTCCAAAAACCTTAGCAATGCCCTCCAGCAGCACCACGAAGTGACTGAACTAGCATCTCACCTCCGAAGAAGCCTATTATTTTGTTCTGATTTTCCCGTTACAGATGTAACACTAGATCAAAACACTATTAACTGACTAAACTGCCATGGACCAGCCTGGGATGTTAATTCCTCCTCATGGTACATTTTCTGTTGTGCACACGAGTTTCAAGTGTGAAACTGCTGACTCGGGTTTTTTGGTAAATAATCCATTTTCGAGTTTAGTACTTTGTTTTTGAATTGTGGTAGGGGTGGGAAGGTGAGGATGTAAATAGCAGGGCAAAACAGTCAGGATTATGTGTATTTTTTTCTGCCAGGCGCTCTTTTCCCCATCTGTCATTAGATCATTCTTATTTCTGATTGGTTTTCAGACGCATAACGAGTTTACCATTACCCACGTGATTGTGCCGAAGCAGTCTGCGGGACCGGACTACTGCGACATGGAGAATGTGGAGGAGTTGTTCCGGGTTCAGGATCAGCACGACCTCCTCACTCTGGGGTGGATCCATGTGGGTTTGACCTTTGGGTCGCAGTTTATTGTGTGGGTGGGGGGGTGCTGTTTTTCTCCTTGAGGAAATTCAGCTTACTTGAAAAAGTTCCATATTTTTTCGTTTTTTCAAGGGCAATAAATGTCATCACATGGAAGCATTTTCTCAACGTTAGGCTATGTCTAAACCTGGATTTGAGAAGGGTTATACTGTGCTTTTTTCCTACCCAGTTAAAATAGGGAGAGGCATTTGGAAATTAGTGACTTGTTTTCATGATTTGTACACAGTGTATTGGATGCTGAGTAAGATTTTTAACTAATTTGTGTAGAGTGTTTAGTCTCTCTCTCCCCTTGCCATGGGTCTAAAGTAGATTACTTTAGGAAAATTTTGGAAAATGTTTCTTTTAAACTGGTGTTTGTACGCATTAAATAGGAACCATATATGTACTCCACCATTTCTCTCCTACAGGCCAATGACATATAAACTGTGTCAACAGCCACAGAGTAGGACCAAAAGGATGGGGCCAAAAATATTAGGATCCACCATCTGCCAGGCCATCACAGATCAAGAAAAGGGCTTAGGAATTGAAAGACACGAGTGCAAATCTCAGCTCTGCTAAGAATCCATTGTAGGAACATTAGAGGGGTAGCATAGACTTCAGTCCCAGGTCCACTGTACACTGCCGTGTGCCTGCAGTAAGGACCCTGACCTCCTTGTCTCCAGGTTCCCGCACCGACCAACCGGGGCTGACGCAAAGCTTCTGGCCCTCACCCGCAAGCAAGATACTGGGCCGGAAAGCCTTGTGAAAAGTATAAACTGCCTCTCAAATACAGGAAATTATTTATAATGAAGAGTTTGCCAAACATTCCATACGTCTTTGTTTGTTTTACTTAACAACAAATAATGTACCTTACTGTCTGCTTAGAAATTGCTGAATTTTAAAGGCATTATTTAGTTTAACATGATTTTCTATAGCAAGAATGTATTTTAAAGCAACAAAATTGTAGCAGAATAAATGATAACATAAACTAGGAAGAATGACAGTTAATTAAATTTACTTACATTGAAATGTTAATCTTATAAAACATTTCCCAAATTAGAAATACAAGTTTTTCCCTTATGTCCTGTGTATGTGATGTATGCAATAGGGAAGTTAGGTCATTTACATAATGGATTCGGCATACTTCTGGAATTTCAGGGTTTTGCTTTTGTGTCTCTTTCACCATCCCAGATAGTCGTGGTTCAGGGAAAACACTGGAATGGCATATGTCTGGACTTCAGTGGTTGTAATGACCTTTCGTGATGATTTTTATTGGCATGATAATAGCAACAAATTCCATAGCTAGTTTCATTCGGACATAAATTAGTCACAGGAAAGGAGAGCCGAATCAGAACCCGACAGAGCTGCAACTGAGTTTAGACTTCTCAGCCTGACTAATTCCACAACCTTCTCAGCACAGCGTGAACTCTTCTGCTCGGCTGCATTTCCACCCCTGTAAAATGGGGTAATAATACCACTCCCCTCAGCTTGTTTTAAGAATTAAGTGAGACAACTCATGGAAAATGACCAGTTCAGTTGCAGTGAATGACAGCTGCTGCTATTGTTATAATCATCATCACTGTCATCATCATTTTTATTTCCCTTGAGGTGGTGATGGAGGAAGCGCCGTTCTCCGGGACAGGTGTCCTCATGGAGTGGAAGCGATTCCTCCTGGCAGCAACAGGGGTGCAGAATGTCGGTGGTGTGCATTCAGTCTGGAGAGTGATGGGTGGAGCAACTTGTCTACCTGACAGTGCTCGCTGCCCCCAGAGCACCGGCGTTCCTTTGGACCTGCCTCACTTTCTCACCGAGGCGTAGGAGGTGCTCACCGAGGCATAGGAGGTGCCCTGTACTGAGAGGAGGTTTTCACGGAACCAGATAACAGGCAGTCGAAGTCTCACTCTTGTGCCTTCACTAAGATTTGGGTTTTAAGAATGAGATAATTTCCATTCCTCAGTTGATCTAGGTCTTTGCAGATGGAGAGTTCTTTTTTCCTTGCAGAACATGTATCTTTCTGTGAATAGGTACCCGTGGATTTTTATCTTCATTCTAGTCAATAAAATAGACAGGAGTTTTTACATCTTACATTTCTTGAACAATCCGTAGTTGTACGTAATGGTGTGAAGCTATTTCTATGAGCCCATGCCCATCGAAACATTCAAATAACAGTGAGTGGTTTTGACTCCCTTCTGAGTGCTAGGCACTGTTCTAAGCACTTTACGTGGGTTGTCTCACTTAATTTTCATAATCCCATGAAGAGAATGATTATCCATATTTTATAGTTGATGACAAGAGAATGAGTTGCTTAAGGAACCTCCACAGCGCTATACAGCTAGTGAGTGCTGGAGGCAGGACCCAGACGGAGCATGCTGAGGACCTCGGCTTCGTGATTTAAGTGCTCACGGATCTTTTGCAAGGTTGATTGGGGTTGACTGTGAATTCTAAAGTCATTATAGGTGCATGCACTTTTCACATCCAAGTATGAACCTCAGGTTTCTCTTTCACAACACAAGTGTGTATAGCCCCAAACCTGGAAGATAATTCTTTCAATTTATGATCTCTTCCTTCTCATGCATGTATTTACTGTCTGTGCATGAGTGGCTACCACCTCCAACAACTTGGAGAGTTCCATTCTCCCATTGCTAGGGAAGGATGATCCACAAATGGATACATAGTACCCTGTGGTAAATTTTCCTTTTGTGTCCATGGTTTTGTATGAAGTATCTCTGGGTTTTTGGTCACAGCTGTGCTCTTGACCTACAGTCGTGTGACCATAGGTAAGTCACTGACAGAATCCTCAGGATCCTTGTATATAAAATTGAGGTCATAATATAACCATCTCCTGGATAAATTGATTAAATGAAAATCTAGTCAAAGCTTCTGGTAAACTAATTTCCAATTCTGTCTTTCCCAATCAGCAGAAAGGACACGAACCCAAAAACCTCTTCTCAAAGTTGTAGTTATTCCAAAGATGCAAAAAAAGAAGGTATATGCCAGCAAGACGCTTTAAAAAATTTGCATTTGATTAATCATGGTAGAAAAGAAAACACAAATAACTAGAGTTTTCTTTTAGAAGGCTCTGTGACCTTGGCTAAGACTCAGCTACCCCACTAAGGGTGTCCTCTTTTCTTTTTATAGACACATCCCACCCAAACTGCTTTCTTATCCAGTGTGGATCTGCACACTCACTGTTCCTATCAGCTCATGTTGCCAGAGGCGATTGCCATTGTGTGTTCACCAAAGCATAAAGAGTAAGTGTAACTATGGAGGGGCTCCAGCGAGGCTTTGTCTGGGGCCACTGGGTTCAAGGGAGTCCGGGAGGCAAGTTGCGGCCCTTGAATGGGCAGGCACAGCACGCCCCCGGGAAAGAAAGATCAGTGACTGCTGGTTCCGTGGACCTGTAGCTCCACAGCCTTGCTTTTCAAGGTCCTTTCAATGGTAGAATTACTGGTTCTCTTTCTTCACTTAATGTGACCTTGAAGTGGATAAACTGGGTATTACAATTCCAGTTTGCCATTTGAGATTTTAGTTCTACTGTATTATGTCCCTTTGTAGGAAAATTTCCAGCCTTAGTTTAATTACTGCCAAAACCCTTCTAGGTTTGGGAGACAATGATTATTGCAGCGCGATTATAAGCTGAGGACTCACGTAGACGTACATAGGAATCCTGTCTCCACCCTCCACCCTGCTGAACATGGTGTGTTTAGCAGGACACCTGCCCGCCGCGAGGCTCAGGCTCTTCAACCCTGAACCTGCCCATCAGGGACTGATGTGAGGATGAAACTGTAGATGGGAGTCTGGGTGAAGTCAGGGCTTAGCATCATGCCTGGCACCACGCCCAGCGCTCCATGAGTATTTGCTGTTGCTACCACCAGCATTACCATCGTTAGAAGTTAGAGATATCAGCCACTTGTAATTTCCTCTGGGGGTCCCGCCTTTTCCTCTGTGCTCTCACCCAGCAGTTCAGCTGCCTCTGGCCCATCACAATCCCGCAGGTGCTTGGAGCCAGCACTGGCCCCTCCATTGGATCTCACCACTAGACCAGTCATCATAAGACTGGCTCAAAAATTCACCATGGCATTCCTAGTTGGTGATGTGTTCCTCCGTCCCAGTTGAGGAATTTGTTTGCTTGTGCCGTTCAAATGAAGCATCTGGTGGACCCAAACAATCCTTAATTTTTTACCTTTATTTCTCCCTGAAACTTAGCACAGGCATCTTCAGGCTCACCAGTGCCGGCATGCTGGAGGTCTCTGCTTGTAAAAAGAAGGGATTTCATCCACACACCAAGGAACCAAGGCTATTCAGTGTGAGTAGACACTGTCAGTTATTTTTTTCAGATATTTATTTTTTACTTCCTTTTTTTAGCAGTATAATATGGGATAAAACTCTAGGCTGCCTAGTGGGGAGTTTTCTTGTCCAGAAAATCATTCTTTGTAATTTCTTCTGACTGATTTTATTTACAAAAGAATGTCAAATTTCTGTAGGACAGTTAAGCTACCTTTCCATTTATGTATCTTGTGATATTTAAATACAGTTTTCTTTAGAACCTAAGACGCAAACAATTATTAAATAAAATGATATAAAGTGTCTTGTGAATGATTTCTGCTTAATGTGGCCATGAAAATGATTATATGAAAACTGTAATCATACTTCTTACTTCGCCTGAAAGAAACATTATTTGACTACAACTTTTTTTCTAACTGATTTCTTGGTAGCTTTCTGACTGTAACATCTGAGAAACATTATTTTGAAGTTAGTATTTATTTAAATGGAAAATTACTTGGAAACCTCTGTAAATATTTTTTATTGTTGAAAAGGAATAAATGTGTTTGCATTTGGCATTTGTTCTGATTGAAATCTTTTTAATATTAGGAACAGTTTTAAATTAGGAAATTACTATTTCCTCCCTAAAGAGAATTCTGTTAAACATTATGATCTAATTCTAAGGCCACTATTTTTCTTTCCTAGATATGCAAACATGTGTTGGTAAAAGATGTAAAAATAATTGTGCTGGATCTGAGGTGATATGTTCTGAAGATTAACACCATCAAGGCCAGACACCTGCCCGTGGATGTTGGTTGCTGGATTTTCTTAAGCTGTTTCCAGAAATGACTGATATTTTATATTTATACATTTTAGATCCGAAAGTTTGATATTTATTGCTTTTGCACATTTTGAAGTTTTCTTTTTGGGTTGCTCTGTCTCAAAAGTGGTCACAATGAGGTTAAATCAATACCTGTTCATGTACCCCAAAACTATGACCAGATAATAAACTGTGCCGCAAATAATCATATGACCAGTATTTATAAAGGTCTCCGCATACATTTTCAGAGCTTTAGATGTTTTGCTCTATTTTTCCCTTATTCCTACAAAATGTGATTCCAAGCAAGAAACTCTGAGTACCCGGTGGTCTCCAAGACAGGCCCTCTGTTTTCACAGCCTTCTCCTGTGGTGGAGGGCGAGCCGTTTCCACACGTGGGAGGAACCCTGGCTGCGTGGCTGCGCGCAGCAGAGCCCATCCTGCGTTTCCAGTGTCATTGAGTCCCAGGCCCAGGTGTGTCTGCAGTGGATCTCCGTGTAAGGCACCAGAACAGGCAGCTTCTACGCAGGGGTCTGATGTCAGAGGACTTGGGGGTCCCAGCAGTTCATTACCTTGATCTGGAGGACTCGAGCTGCTTAAGAGAGGAAGAAAGAAAGACTCAAATAAAAACGGAAAGCCTCACTGTGAAGGTCAGACAGGGGTGATGGGGAGAAGAAATGAGGCATAGGAAGTTACTGGTAATTCTCAGCCAAAAAGAACATCGTTTGGAAAGGACACATAATTTAAAGTCTCTCCGTATAAATCAGTGCACAGGGACTGGGAAGAAACATATATGTTTAAATTGAAAAGGGCAGCAAAAATACAATGCTGTGGTATTGCTAAGGCTTGGTGTGGGATTTGTGGCTGGTGCCTAGATAATAAAAGCACTTACCTGGATCAAAAGATATGGATTCCATAGAAGGCATGGGAGACTTATGCACAATTTTGGCAAGTAGAATGGGTAGGAAAAACCTGAGGGTGGAAACATTGTGGAGAAAATTCAGCTGCAAATGTAAGGAGGGAAGGATGGAGGTAATGACGATGGAGCAGAGTCTGGTTGTTGAGGTGGAGGCCTGAGCATCTACGCAGACTGACAGTGAGGCACCTGAGACAGCGCTGGGGTTCAGACTGTCCACCATCAACAGAACGTCATGTCCCACTAAGGGGGATCATGGTAGACCCTGGCCTTGCCTAACTGATTGTTTAGTTTCTCTGAAGAGTATTTAAATGTTAGCCAATAAGGAAAGACAAATGGATGTTGAATTGACGGAAACATCAGAGAAAAGTATTCACTTCTCTGAGAAGTGTCTGTAACGGAATTGTTTGGGGAATATGACATTTCCAATGACCCTATGAGGGGTACTTTACTAGGGACTAATGACTGAAACACGTGGGAAAGTCCCTGAGAAATCACATGTATGCTCTGGCCCCCTGACACTCCCAGTGAGGTGAGCACAGGAAGGCAGTAGAGAAACGAGCCCGGTGACCCAGCAAACTCACTGCTCCGCCGGGATTTCAAAGGAGGCAGTGTCAGAGCTGGAACGCAGACTCTGAGCCCAAGAGCAAGTCTGAAAGAGAGATAAAAATTGGCAACTGAAAAAACAATGCAAGATGGACAGAAATAAATGGTCAAATGACAAAACAAACAATTTAGTAATAAGTGTGATGTCCTTTATTCAAGAAACAACCAATCTGTGGATCAGGGGAGAGTATAGGACCTCAAAGTGGCGGAATTCTTGTCCTGCAGATGTCTGGGCAAGAGTGAGTTTATAATGTTAGAAGAGGCAACACAAAAATGCCATGGTTGACTGGGAGGCTGGGAATTTCCTCGGAAGGCTCACCAGTGCTACTTTCTAGGTAAGGTGAGCAAGCTCCAGCCGAGTTGGAAGACCATGATTGGTGGAATGTAGGTGTCCTTGACAGGTGCTTCCTGTAAGTGCAAGCTGATACAGGTTTAGGGGTGCGATGTGGCCTCGGTTTTGTGGGTCCTGACAATGAATTCACCTGATCAGAATTAACAGCTTCTCTGGGAACAGTCGATGCCACACATTCACATTTGACTAATAGGTAGGTGTGTGACTACGTAGGCCAGGAAAAGAGTGCAGACCTGCAGAAGAAACAGGACGGCAGAGTCTCGTGTCCCGCAGCCCGAGCACCTGGGTCCAGGCTCCAGCTCTGCCCAGCACGACAGCACCTGGGGACGGTGTGGAAACCAGAGTACTAGGGGCCGATCGGCGGGGCACTTTCTGGGACGTGGGCCAACCATGTGGCCCGCCTTGCCTGGTTTTAAGGGTCAAGCTTACTGGGTATTCGCTCTGTTTCCTGTTGCCGTTTTGCTCCAGCCGGTATACAAGCTTAACCCCCTGTGATACTGTGATTTATTAGAAAAAATGTATTTGGTCCAAAAGATGACAAAGTATATTTTTCATATAGAATTTGTCTTCTTCCATTGTTCCTGGCTCACAGCTTCCCAAATCCTTGGAATATCCTGAGCTCTGTGAGCAATGGGAACATCTTTGGTCATAATATTTAGTCTCCTGTCCTCAGTTCTTGAAGGTATTTCAGAGCCATAAAGGTGAAATTTCAGAGCCATAAAGGTGAACTGGAGCATTGTTATTCAAGACAAGCCCCTTCCCACCGCAACTAGGTTTATGTTAATAAGGTGACTTGGAAATCACGTAAGGAATGTAAGGAATGGGTCCATTGCTGGAGGAACCAACCACGTGATTAGAGGATAGGAATGAAAAGTTCCCAGGAGGGGAGAGGAGCTGGAGGTTAGATCGCCAATGGCCAGTGATTTAATTCATCATACCTATGTACTGAAACCTCCGTGAAAACCTCAACAGAGAGGGTTCAGAGAGCTCCTGGGTTGGCGAACCAGATGTTTCCACTTGCCACCGGGCCCCGGACTCCACAGGGCTGGGGACCTTGCACTGTGTATCTCTTTGTCTGTCAGTGGATTTGTATCCTTTAATATCTTTTGCAATAAACTGGTAATATAGTGAGTAAACCAGTTTCTTGAGTCCTGTGAGCTGCTCTAGCAAGTTAATTGAACCCAACAAGGGGTCATGGGAACCTCCCATTTATAGCCAGTCACTTCGAAGCACAGGTGACCTTGTGATTGGCATCTGAATTGGGTTTAGGGAGGTTGCAGTCTTGTGGGGCTGAGCCCTTCACCTGTGGGATCCGAGGCTGTTCTCTGAGTGGCGTCAGAATTGAATCGTAAGACATTCAGCAGGTGTTCAAGAATTGCCTGGTAGTGTGGGGAAACTCCACAAACGTTGAAATTGGGGTTCACCTTCCTTACTCTGTCGTTGAATACTCAAAACTTTTTTGACTACTCAGAACATTTGTGAAGGAGGTAACTTTCTATTTACTATAAATTCAAATGTATAAAAAAGTTGGAAGAATCATATAAGCAACTATGCTTTACCTGTTCTGTTTACATGTTTCTCCATTTACTTTACCATCACCTAACTATCTATTTATCTAAACTATATCTCCATATGATAAAGAGTCTCAATATATCCAGACAGCTTATTCAAATAATTTAAGGAAAATTATCTAGGTAATTTTTTTCCTTAGAGCATTTGAATAAGCTGGCTCGATATATTGAGTCTCCACCACTAAATACGTCAGTGTCTATTTTCTAAGACAAAAATTCTCTTAATCACAGTAAAGTTATCAAAATCAGTTATTTAATATTAATACAATACTACTATCTAATCCATAGTCCACACATAATTATCATCAGTTCTCTCAATAATGTCCTTGGTTGCTTTTTCTTTATGCCCAAAATCCAATCTGGAATCATATACGTCACAGTTGGTTTTCATATTCTTTTAGCTTTTTTTCATGCTGTCTTTTTTCTTTACTTTGACATTTCTAAGGAGTACAGGATGTTTGTTTTGTAGAATTATTCTTAATTTGTGGTAGGCTCATGCTTCCTCCTGATTATTCTCATTACACAGTTGTGGCAGAAATGCCACAGAAGTAACATTGTAACCTTCTCTGTGTATCATATAAGTGGCATGTAATTGTGATTTTTTCCCCAATTTTGGTGGCCTTAACTTACTGGGTTGGCTTAAACGTTTGTTTGTTTTTTTTTTTCTATAAGATGGTTCTAGTAGCAATTAGTTGTCTTTAATTTCATTTGAAACAGATGTGTTAGATTGTATTGTGACAGCTGTCACATCAACATGCATTTAAAAAACATCAAAATTGGTGTTTTTGTGTGACCATTTTAATATTGAAGATGGAAAATATGCAACATTTTCAGCATATAATGCTTTATTATTTCAAGAAAGTTGTAAATATGCAACTACAAAGCCAAACAAGATTTGTTCAGTCGATAGAGAAGGTGCTGTGACTGATTGAATGTGTTAAAAGTGGTTTGAGAAGTTAACACTGGATTTATGGCTGGATGATGCCCCATGGTCCAGCAGACCAGTTGAAGTTGATAGTGATCAAATTGAGGCATTAATTGACAACAATCAACATTATATCATGTGGGAGATAGCCAACATACTCAAAATATCCAAATCAATAAAGTTATTAGTGAAAAGGAAAATATGTCTTTTATTTTACAGAAAAAACTATATGAAATTTTTGGCCAACCCAATGGATTATTGGTGAAAGCAGTCAACAGATTTCTCTTGTATAAAGTGACTATTCTCTTTTGCAATTAATAAGTAATTTGGGGGGAGACATTTTGAGAAAATGTAAACATTCCTCAGGACACTGAACACTGGTTCTTGAGGCACACCCTTGGCCCAGCAGAAATCATGGCCAGGTGCCTCGGGAAATCCTGAGCTGGCCGTCCTTTCCTTGACCAACAGACTTCTGATCTCTTCTCAGTCTCTCCTCGCCCTTCAGGGTCTCACCTTACTCTAACCCACCTTTTTCTCTCTTTTCAATGTTCGCATTTCCTTCTCCAGCCATTTTCCCCTGCTGTATCTCCAGTTTTTTCCTTGATAGTGTCAAGTAAACCTCATTTAACTTTCTCTCTTCCCAAGGTCTTGTATGCTGACCACAGCTTTCTCAGACTTTGCTTCCCAGTTTTACGTCTAAGCTGCCTGAATGATGTTGTCTGCATGTATTAGCATCCACTGAAAAGTTCAGCGATTTATCAAGAGGGGTATTCCCTGTTCTCCATGCATAGACCAGATAGGATTCTTCCCCCACTGGTTTATTTCCTCATACTGGAATTGTGCCACCCAGACTGTGCTCCACTTTTCATACATGCCGAGCCTGCTGTGGGTAGCTCAGGGGCTTGTTTCTGCCTTGTGACAACATGTAGGCTTAGGAAGTTCAGATCCTGGACCAGAGAGGTAGAGCTAGGCTTACCTTGTGCATGGGGGCCTGAGTCTCCATCACCACCAGCTGTGGGCACATTAACTCTGCAAGTCTGGCCCCACAGACAACCCACTGTTCCCCGAGTGGTGCCGTCGTCAATGTCTTAGCATCTGAAGACACTGAGATACTCTGACATGCTCCATCAGAGCAAAACATTATATGATTTATTCAAATAGCAGTGACTGTTGGGACTAGGGATAGTTGAGAAGTGAGTGATACCGTCAGCACAGAAATCAAAAACACAGTAGTAGACCGAGAGGACGTAAAATGAAAGGTAACTGATGAAAAACTATGGCTTTGAATGGTGCCTACAGATACAGAGGGCTTAACTAGAAGCCAAGAACATAATGTCTTAGATTTGTGCAAAGAATAGTACAAGTGGCTGTGAGTGTGCAAAGCCAATTATATCCCTTCTGAATAGCAAATCAGAAGACAATCCAGTTTTTACAAATACACACACAGTAAAGAAGTGCTGGGGGTGGGGTGGGCATTCTCGACATTTCCATCTCCTTGCAAGAAGCAAAACCTCAGGCACGAAAACTTTGAAAAGTTGTTCATGAAGGCGATGTGGTTTTCTTATTGCCAAGTACAAACCCAATTAACCAGACTTCCCAGGAGGACCTTGTCACGGAGCGTAGGGACTGCCTCTCCCAGGCAGCACACCAGTGACGTGCTGTCACCTGGCAGAATGAGTGCCTGGTGCCTGAGGTTCTGTGTCTGAAAGAAGCACCAGAAATGCAACCAGACCATTGAGGGACGGGCTGGCCAGGGAGTGGAGCCCTGTCAGCCACTCTGGAGGCCTATGGGAGTGTGCACAAGCGTGTGTGGGTGAGTGTGCACCCGTGCATGGTGAGTGCATGACCAGCAGTGTTCCCTGAATGAGCCTCCTCGGGAAGATCTCATTCAGAGCAGACTGGGCAGCTCCTTTTGAGTATGAGTCAGTTCTGGAGCCCCATTTACCACTCTCACCTCCTGAGGCACAGACAGTCCATTCCTGCTCCCAGTTGTGTTTCTGTAGAAAATGAAACTGTGGAGCCTGAGAGTCCTTTGGTTTTTGATGCTAGTCTGAATTCAGTGCCTGACACAATGTCCTTGTTAAGGGCTGATTTGTGTCTCCCCCTAAACATTTATGTTGATGTCCCAACCTCTAGTACCTTAGAATGTGACTGTATTTGGAGAAAGAACTTTAAGAAAGTAATTAGGTTAAAATGAGGCCACCAGAGTGGGCCCTAATCTGATATGACTGCTGTCCTTATCAGAGGAAGGGATAAGAACGCGGAGGGAAGATCCTGTGAAGTCACAGGGAGAAGGCAGCAGTCCAACAAGAGAAGGGCCTAGGGAGAAACAAAACCTGCTGACGCCCTGGCCTTGAACTTCTAACTCCAGAACTGTGAGACAATGAAGTCCTGTTGTTTAAGCCGTGAAGTCTGTGGTGTTTTGTTATGGCAGTCTGAGAGCAAGCTAATGTAATACTTAGTAAGTGCTTACTGAAGCTGTTGCTTGTTTCCTTTTTTCTCGAGGACTGAATGGAAATGGAGTTTCTTTGTAGTCACGCAGAAATCATGCTTTTCTCTGTAGACCCTGTGAGTTCTAGAAGACGAAGCAGGGTGTCTGTGGGTCGTTCTCAGCTACTGAAATTGCTTCTGGATTCTTTTTAGTAGAATTTCATTTGCGGAAAGCACGAGCATTTTATTCGAAGTGCAATGTCATTTAAGGCCACAACCTAGCATTGGTTCACGACTGCCCCCGCCCCGATTCATTCCATGCTGCAGTCTCGTGGTCGCGCTGGAGACGTGGTCATTACAGTGGTTTGGATCTAGAGCGAGGTTTCTGTTACGAAGTCGGCTGCAGTGGCCCCCGAAGGTGGAAAGCAGATGTTGCTCTTCTAATGTGTCTTACGGAGTTTTCCATCCAGAGAATGTCTTCTTGTGAGAAGAATGTTTGAGAAATGTCACGGAAAACTTACAGCTCCTTGATCTTACTAGAATTTAGCTTGTTGTGTATTGTGAAGACAACAGATATGCAAAGAATTCATTTCTTTCTTTAAGAATCTTTTTCCTTTTCTAGCATCTTGGCTCTTCATGAGGCAAGAGTGTATTTTCTTTGGGAACAGCTGACAAGAACATTTGATTCATCATACTAATATCAAAAAAGACTTTTTAATTATCAAAAGACATGCCTTAGTGTTGGCTGTTATGACAAAAATACCATAAACTGGGTGGCTAAAATCACAAGTATTTCTCACTGTTCTGGAGGCTGCAAGTTCGGGTCAAGCGCGCCAGGCTGGTTGGGTTCTGGGTAAGGGTTCTTTTCCTGGTTTCCTAACTGCCACCTTTTGCTCCGTCCTCCCCTGGCGGAGAAGGATCATCTCTCTCCTGTCTCCTTCTGAAGGCGCCAGTCCCATCCTCAGGGCTTCACCTGTGACACCGCAGCAGCTCCCAAAGGTCCCTGCCTCCGGATGCCACCACACCACATTACGGTTTAGGCTGCAACATAACAACAGAGGGGCGTGGGTACACGAAGGCTCCACCCATAGGAAGGCAAGTGCCGGAAAACGTTTTTGTAACGCTTTCTGGAAGCTCCGCTGTACCTCTGCGATCCCTTAGTTACATCAAAAATTGACATTCATATGAATACATGAATAACTATTATAGTCCC